GAAAAATGAAAACGCGTAGTTCCAGCTGTGAATTGACTGTGCTTCTGACGTGCGCGTGTATATAACGTGAACGCTGAAGAAGTTAAGGGGAGGGAGAAAACGCTTTCCGACTCCTTCGCTTGGTTTCTGTTTCTTTGATCGCGATCGCGACGGAAAATTAAGGATGGGAAGACCCACATCGCGAACGGGAGGGAAACAAGTCTAGCTAAAAATCTCGCAGACCCGAGATGTCTGTGAAGCAACGTCGAGGCTAGTGCATTTACCGATTCGATCGACGAAGCTTTCTATATCCCATAGGTATATACCAAATGCACGGAAAGAGGATGGCTGGTGGGCTAATCTCGATTCTAACCTCCAGCATCTGTAGATCCTTGACCACACTGGATCGTGTTCGATCCGTCGATTCCGACGCGTTTCCTCGTTGTTAACCCTTTGGCCTACAACCACGTGTGAGGCCCGTGGTCATGTATTCCAGCCAAAATTGATTATCACGAGCCTGGCCCGTGGTACATCGATCGGGTCGAAATTGACTATTACGGGCCTGGCACGTGGTACGTCGATCGGGTCGAAATTGACTATCACGGGCCTGGCACGTGGTACGTCGATCGGGTCGAAATTGACTATCACGGGCCTGGCACGTGGTACGTCGACCGAGCCAAATGTGAACATCACGTGTCACGGCGATGATTCGTCGATGTGCCCACGTAAGTTGTGTGCGATTGGTACGACTTAAGACAGATTAAGACTCGAAGGCTCGGCTGTTCTGTTTGCGTTCTGGGACCACGCTGTTGAACTTTAAATCGTAGTACAAGGGTTAAATCGCGCCGTTGCACCCACCGACGTAATCGTTATCCTTTGAAGCACCTTTTTATCGAAGGTGCAACCGCGGGATCGCGTTCAAGAGGCCAAAGGACTGCTTAGGGGCAACGTCTTGCAGCACCCGTTGCAATTACCGTTACCCGCGGTCGAACGACGGAGAAATTACGCAATGCAAACCGCTTGGCGGACCGCGAAATAAGCGGCTGCCGGTTTTTATGCGGCTGCAACTGTGAATGCTTTCCCGCGCTTTTTGCGTTTCGACCGCACGAACCTCCGCGGAACACGGGTAGGCCATTTAACGCGGCGAGTGGTTAGGGGTTAGCACCGTGTCGAAAACCCGGCATGCAGATCGTGGAAAAGAGATCCCTCGCCGCGGCTCCTGCACTCGTGCTTTTTTCCCCTCGGCTCCTAAATTACGCTTCTTGCGCTATAGCCCGCGAACATCCAACTGCCGGAGCGTGCACGAGGAACGGAAACTCTGTTTCGCGAATTTACCAACGACCACGTCGGGGCCCGAAGAACGCGATAGGCCAGGTCAGGTCGAACGGGCGAGCGCTCTTTCGCTGTCAGCCGCCCTCATAATTTAAGCGCGGCTTAAACTCCGCGCTGCCAGCTGATGGCTTAAACTCACTGGCCGGCACTCTAACATGTAAACTTCCTAGCTACCGCGTGAACATTTAACTTGCTGCCACCTTAAACTGCCACTGACTTACCAGCGGCTTACGGGCTAAACTTTTCGATTAATAAGCTCGTGCGTGTCGTGATTGTTATGGACAGGAATAGCACGGAGCTTTCGTAAATAAACCAACCTTCGTAACCTTATAATCCTAAAATTATTTCCCTCCTGTTCGCGATTCACTCTGTGCCGACAATTTGCATGCTTCGGGAGAGTTCGATTCTAGCAGTCTACGGGCCCCTGTAAAACTAGACTCGTTGGTCTCGTAGGGTCTTCCTTGGATCAGCTATTCTAGTCCTAGAAATAAATTATTCGCTATCACTGCATACGTAATTTCACTGACGCCATTTCTCCAATACGGTATATCTGGAATTTAAAGGGTTCTTACTAACAAGAAGTCCCGGAGGATACTTTTATACGGAATAAAAACTTGGGTGAATTGCACGATGGGTCAGAGAATAACCGGAATATCATAGCCGATAGAAAATTTTTGCAGTCTCATTCGAATCTTGGTTCTGGAATTGCGCGTGGGAGCTTGTCGGGAAGTAGAATCTCGGATGCCGGCGTGGCAAGCGATCGGATAAGCCACGATTTATTGCGCGATCGAGGCGAGATGGCGGAGACTCGGACTCTCTTGCTGCTTTACTTTTGCATACCTGCGAAGGTTCTCGATATTCGCGGGTACATCGCGCACCTGTCGGTCGGCTGGAGGTACCCGGCCATGATCCATAGCGCGGCAGATGCGATGGAACGAGGCTCGAGTTCGCGGCTTACGCAGCCGGCATGCATAATTCCGCGATTGTTATTGCAGGAAATCGCTGTATTCAGAATGTGTCTCGCGCGAAAACCCGTGTATCCCGGCTGCGCGGCACGCCGGAAGATCGCTATTTATGTGATACATTAACAGCGCCTGGCGATCTATAACGGGCGAGCCGCGAAAAGCAGAAATTATTTAGCTGAGATACCCCAGCGAGGAGAAACTTCGCTCGGTGCACGGCTCTGATCGATGAACGGAGAATGACGGATGGTGAACGATAATCGAGAGATACGAAGAATCGGGAATAGCTACGGGGTGGCTGAGCGTTCTATATGCCAGTCGGTCGAGAGATTGAATCAACGTTCTCTGCGTTTGCTAATTAGCCTCCACGTGTGCTTGGCAAGTGTAGCATATAGATGGTCTGCTTCCATGTTTAGTCGTGAATTTCAGCGCATTAAAACTAAATACGGATAGATTTGCTACGCTCCGATTAATCAAACCTACTGTGCGTTCGAGGAAAGAAGGCACTAAGTGTTTACGTCCTCGCGGCTAATTTCGCTGACACTCCCAGTTGATGACAGGCAGTGACATCGTTATCGATGATCTCCGTCACCGTTTTCGGCTAATAGCGGTCACTGCTTGCGATCAAGAGAGTATCAACGAAGTTAGCCGTGAAGATACAGACATACCTTGGCTTCTTCTCCCGAACGCACAGTAGGTACGATTAATCAGAGTGTAACAAATCTAGCTGCGTTTAATTCTAATACACCGAAATTCGCCACTGCCTGTGATCAAGAGAGTGTCAGTGAAATTAGCGGTCACTGCTTGCGATCAAGAGAGTATCAACGAAGTTAGCCGTGAAGATACAGACATACCGTGGCTTCTTCTCCCGAACGCACAGTAGGTACGATTAATCAGAGCGTAACAAGTCTAGCTGCGTTTAATTTTAATACACCGAAATTCGCCACTGCCTGTGATCAAGAGAGTGTCAGTGAAGTTAGCCGCGAGGATGTAGACATACCGTGCCTTCTTTTCTCGAACGCACAGTAGATGCGGTTAATCGGAGCGTAGCAAATTTAGCTGCGTTTAATTTGAATAGTCTGAAATTCGCCACTGCCTGTGATCAAGAGAGTGTCAGTGAAGTTAGCCGCGAGGATGTAGACATACCGTGCCTTCTTTCCTCGAACGCACAGTAGGTATATTCCTCTCGGAGAACTTCCTTTGAGTCCCGATCGATATCCGATCTGCCAAACTTTGTCATATTACCGGCTTTCAAATTCTCGGTGACGTACCTTGACGTAGGATCAAGATAGATTACATCCACGCTATTTTCATTCTTTTACTAGTGATTAACACATCGCGTAACGCTCAGGAGTTTTCTCGTTTTTCACGCGCCATCTGCTATGGACCCTAGATGTCAATACACTGTCCTGTCAAAACGCGTGGACCCTGGCGCATGTCTTACAGATTTCCGAGAGATTTAGTTGCAGCTGTAACGAAAATCAGCGCGACTCTCTCGACACTCTCGACGATCGCGTCACGGGAGAAGTATTCGTGAAGTTCCCAGCGAGGTCCGCGTTCCTGCCAGCTGCCAACTTATGATACACGCGGAGTACGGGCAGAAAGAAAGGAAGAGAAGCGAGGAACAGGCGGAGCGAATCGCGCGTTTCCGGTATATGAAAGCCGGACGCCGCACAGACGGGAACTCATTAGGAATCATCGACAACGTCGCCGCGGGTGACTATTTAAATGATCCTCTTGATAGGATGTTTCCTTGCAAAATTATTAACGACGGATCGAGCCGGGCGTTCGCCCAGCGGAAACTCGTGTTAAGACACCGCGGCGGCACCCGCCGTCTCGCTCTCGCTCCCTCTTCCGACCCCTTCCGATTCCGTCCACGATCCACCCTGCATTAGCTAATTAGCGTTTAATTAGCAGAGGCTGCGACGCGACACGCCGGCTAAAAAGCCCCGGCTTGCTTCGCTATAATTATCCGGTTTTTGATTCACCTTTATTTCACTCCTCTCGCTGATCGCTCCGTCTCGCGTTGCGGACTCTTCCCTCCCGGCTAGACTCGTCGGCAGTGTCGCGATAGAAAATGTCTGCAACGCTCGGGCAGAGATTTCTGCACGGCTAGAAATTCGCGTGGAAACACGGGATCCGTTGTTGCAGCGTCGTTTAAGCGCGGGGTAAATGACGAGAGAGACGAGCTTACGGTTCACCGGCCGCGCGCGAAGGTGTGCAATTTCTGAAAACGTGAACAAGCAGATAAGGAGTGACGTTATCGTTAAGCTAACAAGAAGATTATTAAATCGCAGCCGCGTTGCACGGGCATTCAGGCTCGTTATAATTAAAAGACGGAACACGAAGACATCGTAATGGCAGTTCCTCTCGACTCTTCTTAATATTTTCCAGCCCGACGACGATGCCCAAGGCAGATAAGAAGAGAGGAGAAAAAACAGCGTGAAAGAGCTAGACGGCACTCTTATTATCGCGCTGGTTCATTATCGTCCGGAACGCTGCATCGATCGCGATAATTGACGATATACAGGTCGTCTCAAAGACAATCTTCCCTTCTTCGTCGAGGCGAGGAGACTCTTCGGATAGCTTTAGGATTCCCTTCCCGATCCTCGAAGCTCGCTTTTCCGTTCGGAGGAAGACCGTGGTTCCTTTCGATCCCTGGAAACACGGGGACGAGCCGACTGTGAACAACCTAGACAATTTTCCGTACGATGCACCGTGTTTCAGGAGGATCGTCGGCGCGTAGAGGCCAGAGTGACGAGCAGGGTAGCGCAATGGCGAGGAGACTTTGGTACGTCTGGACGCGGCACGCTCTCGGGCTGATCCTGCAGCTTCTACTGATCCAGAATTTCGCGGCGACGGGAGCCAGCGGCCAGATAGCCGAGTGTCCGCCCCCTGAAACCATTCCCGGTTGTCCCTGTTACAATTTCGAGGACGGTCTTTTCCTCGAATGCGCTGGCGCCACGGAAGAGACCCTGAGGAGCACTCTGCAAAGCGTTCTGAGCGCGACCGGTGAGTACACGGGCTAAAACCTAATGCAAACGCGGTGAGCTGTCGCCATGGGGCCGGGACGGGGATGGCGAAACCGGGTAATGCAAGTTCCGTCGTAAAAACTTTTTCGATATTGCCCGCGCGCAGTCCAATTTTCATTCGTTAACGAAACGGCCTGCATCGGAACACGTCGGCAACACGCTCGGAGAGATTGTTATTATAATCAGGGTAACAATGTCCCGCTTGTCGGTGGCGGGCGCCAGACCTGTATGGCGGATCAATTAGCGTTTAATGGGCCACTTGGTCGTGGCGACAGCGCGTTGTAAACGCTTCGTATTCTTGATGGGGTCACGTGTCGACTGATGCAACGGCGCGACGACGAGACGGCGAGCCATTTTCTTCCCTCGGGCCCCGACCGACGGGACGTCTAGGTCTCGAACCTAGTCCAATCACAGCCATCGAATCGCGATGAGGCCCTCGAACTTGAACGCGCGACTAGCCAGCTGCGATTTCGTCTTACGATCGCACGGTTGGAAAGGTTACGTAACGGCGACGTAGCAATGACGTGTTCCAGAGGGATCGTTATCCTTTAGCTCGCCTATAAAGTCCGAGCATTCGGTCGAGCAACGAGGCCAAATCTAAATTCCGCGTTATCGCGACTTAATGAAATTAATGGCCGTACCCTTTACGACCGTTTCCAGGAGCAGGCACGATGGTGCAGTCGTTGAGCGTTTACGAGCTGGACAAGACCGTGGAGGAGCTGAAGGACGGCTGCTTCCCGCCTGGCTCTCAGATCAGGCATCTACAGATTTCTCACTCGTCCCTCCGCGAAATTAGCGAAGGCGCATTCGCGAATCTGAAGGACAGCCTGGAGTCGTTGGCGCTGCTTTCTAGTCGTTTGCCTCACGTGCCGCAGAAGTCCCTGGCCGATCTGCATAAGCTGGCAGCACTGGATCTCGAAGCCAATTTGATACAGGACCTGTCCTCGTATTGCTTTTACGGACTGAAGCTGATGAAGCTCACCCTAAAGGGCAATCAGATATCCAAGATCTCGGAGTACGCGTTCGCAGGGCTGGAGGACAGTCTCAGTGACCTGGATTTGACGGAAAATAAGCTGAAGCTGTTCCCCATGGCTCCGTTGAGAAGACTGGAGAGCCTGGTTTCCCTGAGACTCGCGTGGAACGAGATATCCGAGCTCCCAGACGACGGCTACAGCCTTCTCAGCTCGCTGCTGATCCTAGACTTGAGCAGCAACAACTTCGAGAAGTTGGCAGAGGATTGCCTACGATCGTGCCCGATTTTGCACACGCTGTCGCTGTATTATAACTCGATCGAGACGATCCACAAGGACGCGTTCGTGTCGCTGAAGGAGCTCGAGTCTATCGATCTTAGCCACAACAAGATCGTGTTTCTCGATGTCACGACGTTCAAAGGGAACGAAAGGCTACGTAACATCGAGCTGAGCCATAATCACATCCATTACATCGGCGGGGTGTTCGCAAGGCTGCCAGAACTGCGGGAGCTTTACCTGGCGGAGAACAATATCCTGGAAATCCCCGGGGACGCGTTTATCGGCAGCGTGAGTCTCGCGGTCGTCTACCTTCAGCAGAATGCCATCAGAAGAATCGATGGAAGGGGTCTCACCAGCCTCACCCAATTGGCCCAATTACATCTCAGCAACAACTACATCGAAAAGGTGCCGCGGGAATTCCTCGAGCACTGCGAGAACCTCTCGTCCCTGTCTCTCGATGGCAACAAGATCCACGAGCTTCAGCCCGGCACTTTCTTAAAATTGCATCAACTCAGGGAGCTACGACTGCAAGACAATAACATCACCGAGGTAAAACGTGGAGTCTTTTCGCCCCTCCCATCGCTGCTCGAGCTCCATTTGCAGAACAACGCCATCACCGACATGGAAACGGGCGCACTGAGGACCTTGAACAGTCTTCAACACGTCAATCTCCAAGGCAATCAGCTCACCGTTCTGGGAGACGTGTTCCAGCTGTCCGCTTCCGAGTCATCCTCTGGCGGAAGCTCGCTGGTCTCTATTCAATTGGACAGCAACGGACTGGCCGTGTTACACAACGACTCCCTGCGTGGCCAGGCATCGGTTAGAATCATGTGGCTCGGTCACAACAAATTGACGCACCTCCAGGCACCTCTGTTCAGGGATTTACTGCTGGTCGAGAGACTCTACTTGACCAATAACTCGATATCCAGGATAGAGGACGGTGCCTTCCAGCCTATGCAGGCCCTGAAATTCCTCGAGCTGAGCATGAACAAGCTCGGCCATATCACGGCTAGGACCTTCTCCGAGCTTCACGAGCTGGAAGAGCTGTACCTCCAGGACAACGGCCTCAGCCGGTTAGACCCGTACGCTCTGACAGCGCTTAAGAAGCTGAAAGTCCTGGATCTGGCGAACAATCATCTAACCGTCCTGCACGATGCCATCTTTCAAGAGGGTCTGCCCATCAAGACGCTAAATCTGAAGAACTGTTCCATCAAGAGCATAGAGAACGGAGCTTTCAGAGGACTCAGCAATTTGTCCGACTTGAACCTGGACGACAATCACCTCTCGGTCTCGGCCTCGTTCAACCTACACATCGCGGGTCTTCGAACTTTGGCAGCGTCCGGGAACAACTTCAGACAAATCTCCGAGCACAGTCTGAACGGTCTGCCCTCTCTGCAGGAATTGTATCTGGATAAGGCTCAGATATCCCAGCTGCCCGAGTCCGTGTTCGTTCTGAATCGAAACTTGGCACGACTGCACCTGAACAAGAATTATCTACGCAATCTGCCGCCTGGTATCTTCGACAAACTGTTGTCTCTTAAAGAGATTAAATTGGATCACAACGGGTTCCAGGACATCCCGTATTCGGCCTTGGCCAACGCGCTGAACCTGCAGGTGCTGACTCTGTCCAATAACGAAATCGTGAACGTGGACGTGGCCAGTTTCGTTAGTCTCAAGTACCTGAGGGAATTGGACCTGAGCCACAATCGAATCGAGACGATGTCCGGCTTCGCCACGGCCAACCTGTCGCGTCTCATCTCGGTGGACCTCAGTCACAATCACTTGAACGCACTCCCTGCCAATTTCTTCGCTCATTCTTCCATGCTGAGCAGAGTGGATCTCTCTGAGAACAAGTTCAGGCAGATACCCGCGGTGGCCTTGTCCGGTCAGAACCTACCCGGTCTAACCTGGCTGAACTTGACGAGGAATCCCTTGAACAGGATCCACGTTCTTCCCTCGGAGGCAAAGTACCCGATACTTCAAGAGGTGCACATATCAGGCACGAACCTTAGCATAGTGACGTCCCAGGACTTCGAGGCGTTCCCAGCTCTCTTGCATTTATATCTGAGCCAGAATTCCATATCGAGGGTATCCCCGGGCGCGTTTAGAAGCTTACCCAACCTCTTAACCCTGCATCTGGGAATGAACAGCTTGGACATCCTGCCGAAGGAGAGGCTACAAGGCATGGAGCATCTGCGGATCCTGAATCTGACCCACAATCTACTGAAAGAGCTGGACGAATTCCCAGAGGACTTGAAGTCCTTGCAGATATTGGACCTCTCGTACAATCAGATCGGCATTGTGGGCAAGGTGACGTTCAAGAACCTAGTCAGCCTGGTGGAGCTGCATCTTTATGGTAATTGGATCAACGCCATCTCCAGCGAGGCGTTCAGACCGCTGAAGAAGCTGCGATTATTGGACCTGAGCAGGAATTACTTGGAGAACCTGCCTCTGAACGCGTTCAGACCTCTCGAGACACAGATACGGAGCTTACGCGCCGAAGGTAACGTAATTATCAGTTCACTTCGTCGAACGGCCGAATTGTATTAACGAGCCGCGGGAATGTGAAAATTGTTCAATGACGCTGAAAGAAATACGTTCGATACGAGAGAGAAAAGAAAAACCGGGGGAAAAGGGTGAAAAGGAGCTGAAAAAGAGTCGGGATTAACGCAGTATCAATGTTTCATTTGCTCGCATAACTTCTGTTGAACGAGCGGCCAGCCAGACGCAGAGAGAATAATTCTATACGTATCGAAGCTATCGATCCAAATAGAGTTACTAGTGTTGGAAATCCAATCATATCGCTGGTCACGTACAATCGTCTCGAATCGATACTCAACATCTGAACAATCAAACACGCTCTGCCATTCCCTCTCATCCTCTCTTCTCAAGTCTGCAAACTACTCCTTTACGGTATAATGTCCGCCGTCTGCCTTCCCTAATCCCTCTCTCTGTTTCCACCCCGAAAGATTTCCAAATTTAATGGGCACACTGTGGACGTACCGTTGTGTCCACGTGCTGTCTCGGATCGATGCTTCGACAGTCCTTGCCAACGGGCTCCTAGGAGTCTGTTCGTGTCTCTCTGTGCTACGAATCCCTGGACCAATTGCAGGGTCCAAAGGGGATATTTGCGAATTTTTTTCCGAAAAACCAGGAAACTTTTCGACACTACAGTTTCGCTGTCTTCTTGGTCCATCATTGTACCATACGAACGAATTTTTTCAATCAACGAGAACGAAAATCGTGGAAGTTATAATGCCACAACCGCGAGAAAGAAAAGGTATCGACGTTCGTTCGTGTAACGATAACCGAGATAGATAGATGGATTTTGCGAGTGAGTGAAAATTGGCAATGGACCGAAGCTTTATATCGTAGGATTAATGCTAGATTAATCCTGTGCTGACAGAGATCTGCGCGTCTAATTAACAACGACTCCTTTTTAATAACGAAACAGATTTATTTAAACTAAAATATTACACTAGGTTTCTCTCAACTCTAACTCTCAAGCACACGATTCCCTACTCACCTCACCTTATTTAAAATCTGACACTATCTTTTCATACGCAATCTCTTCGTTGATTGTTCGTTTCCCACGCGACCTGGTCCTCGGTTGGCCAGGTACTTCGGACACTCGGACACATTCCCAAACTTTCGTTCATTGCTTGTACTCGTCCCGATACTGCTCTTAACACTATGCCGTCCGCACGTCTAATCGGTGATTCCTTTGTTTGGCGCCGGTAGGACTGACTCGTTATTTCTGTATGATATCAACGTGGTGTCACCGGCATTTGCCCGATAGTTTTCGCGTGACACCAACGTGGTGCCACCGGACGGCATAGCGTTAATACTGTTTCCTTTGCTAGAGTCCTTCCCAGCTCGCAATACCACGGTATTTCTTTTATATTTCTTCGCGATCGCACCAATAGCAGTTTCTCGTCGATGTCCACAGAGAATCCATTGGTCTGCGGCTGCGAGTCGCAGGAGCTCTGGGAATGGTTGAGGGACCACCAGAAGCTGGTTAGCGGAGTAGGTGGCGGTCGCGGTCGCGGAAGAAACGGTGTCGGGGTCGGCGACGTGGAGGATGGTCTGCTGAAATGCCAGCAGCCGCCGGAGCTGCAGGGTCTGGTTTTCCTCGATCTCGATCCCCACGAGTTCTGTTCCGCTCCGTTGATCCTGAAGCTCGCGATTCAGGACATCCAGCCGTTCTCCGTCCTCGTGTCTTGGCAGAGCAGGAACCACTCCGGTTTGCACGGCTACCAAGTGGCTTATCACGCGCTGGACAACGTCGACGAGGTAGGTTTTTACCAAAGAAAGATCCACTCTTGCATGCGTACCCCATAAATTCCCGAATAACCGTAACTCTTGGTTGCGCGTTTAAATAAAACTCCCGATAGACCACTCTCGGTATTCGAATGCCTGGTAACATAAATTCAGGGACTATATAATTCCCAGACGTTCTCGTAGTTCCTTCGAGATACATCCCCCGCGCGTGCTATATCCGAACGCCATTTATTATCGCGAAATCTACGAAAGATACGAATATTCTGCTGGAAGACGAGCTTCCGAAAGAGCCAAGTCGTCCATTCGTATCATTCTCGCGCACCCGACGTTCTATTCGCGGGGAAGACTAAATTTTTATATTGGATGGAACTCACAGGTGCGAGGCAAGCTGCTGGATCCCAAGGCACGGTCTGTTAGACTGACGAAGTTAGCCTCGGACACCCGGTACCTGATCTGCGTGCTCGGCCTTGGCAGCTGGGGCACGTCAATCCCGGAGGACATTGGCTCTTGGCAATGGAACGCTTCTCACGACGACGTGATCGAGGGCTCGGCCCGTCCCGCGATGGTGAACTCGCTCACGAGCCAGTGCACGGAGGTTAGAACCCTAGACGCGCCTGATTCGATCGTCGGCGACGGGACGATGAGCGACAGAGGCGGTCTGGCGAACATCTTGACCAGGAGACTGGGTCTGATAGTCGGCAGCTGTATGGGCTTCGTCGTGTTCGTCGTGTTAATCTCCGTGTTGGGTTACATGAAGATGAAGAAGCAGAGGTCGACCGAGAAGAGGGACCAGCCGCTTTCGTCCAACCCACAGGCGTACATGTCCTACAGGCACTTCTCGTTGCAGAGCGGGGACAGGGCGGACAACGCGTGTCCCAGTTTCATCAGTAACATCGGCACCACCCCGTTGAACTCGTAGCACAAGCCGAAGGAGTCTCGAAGAGAGACTGACCACCGTGCAATCGAGATGAAGAGCTCGCCCAGCTGCGCAGGCATCTTTGGCTAGCCGCTGTCATCGGGACGCGAGGACTAGGCGCCGTGGCAAAACGTTGTGAAAGGACGTCGCAACGTGGCGTCCGTCGGTTTTCCGTCTCGTTCGCGGGTACGATTCGGAATTAGCTCGCTCAGTTTTAGAAGGAACACTTTGAGTACAGCGGCGAACGAGACGGCGGGTATTCGATTAAACGGAGAAGTGCCAAAACTGATGCGCGTAGGTTTTAACGAAGACTCGCGTCGCGACGCGTCCGTTGATCCGCGCGGACGGGTGTGACGATGAGAAACGGAACCGTGAACACGTGCCAAATACGCGGAGCAGATCGAAGAGAGGTGCAGTTGGAATGCTTTCGAAGGGACTGGCGAAGAAGCTGTATTGCTCAGTAGCGTCACACGAAAGCGATTGTTGTCCTGTTTTGTAAGAAAAATATCGAACAAGCGATTACCGATCCCTCTCGACCATCCACGCGAACCGAACAACGATGTAAACGACCCCTTTTTGAAATATTCGAATCTCTCCTACGAAGACTGATTTTTTAAACGCCGTTTCTCCAATCTCCCCCTCCCCACACACATACAAACAAACACACATGCTCCGAAAAGTAATCCCGTCATTTCGATGCTCGTATTATATATTGTGTGTACGATACGTGAGGATTTTTTGTAAATAATAGCGTATGAAATATCGCGACTTAAAGGAAGGAATGTTCGCACAGACGACACTCGCGCGAACCGCGAGAAAACTCGTCCCTTTGGTGCTGCGCAAGCAATATTACACTTACTCTAATCGATAGACCCGACGATCAGCACTGAAGTTAATTAGGATGGCGGTCTTCTAGAAGACGCGAGTTCGTTCAGCGTTTCTTTTCTCCATAAGCGTCCACCACTTCCGCCGGAGGATCCTGGCCGCGCGGTTTCTCATCCCCTTTCCACCCCTTTTCTCTCTCGCTCTCTCCCTCTGTACTCTCTCGTGTATCCACCGCGTGTCGTCGATCGTCCGGCATACGGAATTTTCTCGAATAAACGCGACCAAGTGGCGCGACACTCCTGCCAAGAAACGAGAGAACGGAGAATCGGTTTCGAGTTGCCAAATGTGTTATACGGTGACGTTGTGGAAGATGGATTTATTGTATATAGATAGAGGATATGTATACACATAGCATTCTTTATTATAGCATAGGCTTTCGGTTAATAAAAATACACCAAAGCAAACGCTCGTTCTACCTTCACTCCACCCTCGCCATGTCAAACACCCCTGGCCTGGCTGTTTCCACTATTGAACCTGGTCTGACAGCAACGAAGACGCGCTACACCGGCGCTGAATTTACACTAGCTGGTTCAATCGCCTTGCAGACATGGCCCAATCAAGATTCAATAGGACGATAATCTAGCTAGCGTTTGTGGGATAAATTGCATCGCGTGCCCATGGGTTTATAGACTGTGCTTTTCCAAACAGATCGGCTACCGATCCACCATTTGTCCCGGTAAGTATACGAAATTATAAAAATGATCACTTTGCGATCTTCATTCGCATTTTCGTTCACGATTCGCGGATATTCTTTAATAGCAATTTTCGTTGGAATCGCGTGCAGTCTCGGTGAAGCGTGAATACCGAATCAACCGAGAATCAAACCAAATGGTATTTCCAGGGCGTATCGTGGACGATCCATTAAGTCACATCTCATACGGCTAATTAATTAATTATAATGGGGACTCGGTTGGAGCAGCTTAGAGCGAGCTTGTGGCTCGCTTAGGTTCCGTAATTAACTCCGGGTCAGGCCGAGTATATCCCAGAGCGTCAATCAGTTCCGATCTGGCACGTCGAAACCAAAGCAACCCGCTTCGGGGATATATCGAATTGCTCGCTTCAATAATGCCCGCTCGAATGCGATTCTACGCCGAATGATTCGAGGTATGAGCAATTAAATCGAACGACGAAGAAGAGCGAACTCGGGTGTCTCGTTCCGAGCCAGGGGGTCCGCGAGGACGGATGAAAACGGAAGGTTGATCGCGCCGCGGATTTAATGGCTGCTGCAAATCGAGTAGAATCTCTTAAAAGCGACGTGATCCAGTTATCGGTTATAAAACCGTGATCGCGTTTTACAACGAGCGCTACGGCGCGTATGGTTGCACGTTAACGCGAGTAATAACCACCCCCGTTCCGGCCGGGGTAAATGATCTGCCTGGGATCCTGTTCTTAATTAACAAAAATTAAGGCGGCGACCGCGAGTGGGCGGTCCGACAACAAGTCGTAACTTTCTGATTGGATTTTTCGAAAGGTCTCGAACACCGTCGAATTGAATTACGCCCGGGCCAGTCGGCGAAGAACCGACGCGGCAACGAAGCGTGCGGCGCCGGGGTGTGGAATTAGCGTGAAAGCGGCGTGATTCAAAGCTCGTGAAAGAAGATCCCGGCAAAACCTGTGCATTAACAGTGCCTCGGGTCCCGAGTTGCAATTACCAAGCGTAATTAACTCCGAGAGTTCGCTTAGCTGACGCATGTCTGCCACCTGTACCCTACGAGTCATACACGCGATACGCCGGTCATCGTTATTTTTGTTCACGAAATAATAAAATTGGAGTCTATATAAAAAGGAAAGAATAAAAATAAAAGGTGGGAGAGAGGGGGGACAACTCTTTTAGGTTGGAAATTTTCCCGTTTTATTTTACGCGATGTATGTGCACGTACATACATGCGCGGAGAACGACGGATAAGAAGGTAACGGCATCGTATTCCATGCATAGCTATAAAAGTTCAACTTTGATCTCGAAACGCACCCGGAAGAATAACGAAATTTGAAACGCAAATAATCCGTAGAGCTAGAGCAAAGCCTGCTCTTGAAAATGCAGTTTGTTTCATGTCGATATCTCAAGCGGTTCCCGAGATACGAAGCCTCATAGGAAAGCAGCGAGCATCAATCGGAACGGGTCAGACGTGACCTATATTTTCAGCTGGCTATGCGTACGTCACGCGTAGCGCTAGTGAAAAAATCGCTGACTCAGCGTCTGCCACTGACCAGCGCACGGGAGCGCTCCTTGAGACTGGTCAGTGACGGCGCGAGCGTGGAGTAACTCGTCAAAAATTGTGACGCGCTTTGAACTGCGATATCTCTGGAACCGATAGTCGTATCGGCATAAACTAAACGGTGTTTTAAAGAGGAAACTCTACGCTTTCCGACGGTGTCGAAGAAATTTATCGAATCGCTACAGAAACTCGGCCAACGATGTTTCATTTTCACCTTTGTAATAATGACGTTTGAGTAGGAGGAAAGAGCCCGTTCGCATAAATCGTCGATACCGCTGTGCAAAGAGAGCTAACGTGTCGAGTTACGCGCGATATCGCTGCGAGGTAACGAAATCGAGTATCGTTTTTGACGTCTTCTTCAACAGACGCGGACTTTTGGCGAAATTCTCGCGAAACATCGGCTTGTAAATCGCTCCTTGTGTTACATAAGTCCTCTACGTAGCACTACCATTGGCTCCCGTGGTCTCTCATTATACCATTCCATCCGGTACCTATTGTTAACCTCGGCAAAGTACAAGGTGCTACAAGGGACCTTCGGATTCTAAGCACGGCTATTAATAAGAAGCAACCCGCTGCGAGAGCCGGCCTGGACAGTAAGTACGGCTACGGTTTGTACGTCTGTTAAAATAAATTGGACCACTGCCGGGGTAAACCGTATTACGGCACCCCGGCGAAAGAGATTGCCCGACGAAAAGGATTAATGAATATCTGAAGGCAATATCCCTTGGGCTCGTTTCCCGCTGATCCTCTGTGCATGCCTCGAAGATCAAGTAGCACGGGTTCTATTAGCGTACCATGCAAATACACCCAATCACGGTAGCTAAATAAAAAGGGAACGTCGAATCGGGGCCGTTGTTTCCTCTTTAATCAGCGTTGCCTCGGCGTGCTTGCCGTGAACCAGCAGAATTCGGCAACGGACCGAGGCATAATTTTGCCTCGCGCATGCAGATCCGTCAAACGCCGGGGCGCGATGAATTCACGGGCAGCGTTAATAAACGACGGAACGATTTACTTGCGAGCTCTGGCCATTCCTCGGCTCAAACGACGTGTTATAAATAATGGCCAGAGCCATTGAGCCCTCCTCCATTCCGGCTCGCACAGGCCCATTGTTAACCTTTCGCTCGGCAGGCTAGGCCAGCCCGGTCCGGCGGTGGCGTGCAGTTCTCCAAGTGCACCTATTAATAAGGAGTGCAGCACGCCGTTAGAGCGTGCAGTGTAACTGCACTCCTGGCAAGATACCTTGAGCCACGATGCAACGAGCATCGCTCGTGGAGAAAAGGCCAGCTCTATAGCCGAGCCGCGCTATTCTATACCCGAGGAACTTGCTGCAGAAGCAATTGTATTAGAGAGCCCAGGTATCCGAGTCTCGTCGCCACCCTCCCGCCGACAATATCATTTCTCCCCTTTTCCCCTATCCGCCGCCTCCGCTGTTCCGCGTTTTTGCCCCCGACTTTTCGTTCCTCCCATTGTTTCCGCGATTTTTTTGCTTGTTAAGAAACAGCGAACCCGAGACGCGCATCGACCCACTAGAATTCCGCCCTCTGTTTCCCCGGCCCGATGGAATTATCCTACTAACGCCGGTGTAAACGACATTCTAAAAGTTTTTAACCGTATTCAACCACCACGAGGTCCATGGGAATTTTTCAGACGCAGACGGAATTACGTTTTTCGCCGTGTCTCCCTCGTTGCCACTGGAATAATCCCGACAACTCTTTCACTTTTCGCCGAGAATCGCGATACGAGCATCGCGAAAATCGCGATAATCGTTTCCACGATAGCTTCTTCCTCTTCTTTTCTCTTATTTGTTCGGTTACGTTAATGGGAACCGAGGTTTCGTCGAATTACGTCTGAAGGGAGTCGTGGGTATTTAAGAAATTAAGGTACTACTTCTTGTCAATGGAAGAGCTTTATCAGGCCTTCATAGACACGGTATCTCGTCTTGGGAAAGCTCTGTCCCGT